CCAGGTAGCACGTTGTCTCCATTTTCAGCGAAAATTGGTGCTGGAAAGCAAGAAACCATGATCAGCGCAGATTAGCAGAAGACGGTAGCCATTGTCAGTTCTCCTAACACCGAGACTATGCTGGCCACCAAGTAAGGTTTCGTCAGCGTCTAACCTATCTACTTGTGCGTTTAAGTCTCCGGCTGGCATCACGATGTCAATGTGTCGCCTACTGTGGAGGAGGTTGGTTAGCTGATGGTAGAACTCGTCTTTTTGTGTCAAGACTGCAGTCCGTCGGCGCATAAGCCACGATAACGAACAGACAGAGCTTTTTAGTCCCATTACGAGATGCACTCACCGATCCTTCGAGACGGATAATGCAAAGTTGACTATTGATTGGAATCCAGTCGAGTAAAACTACTTCTGCACGTGCACTTAGTGCTATCCCCAAGCCGGCTTGGCCAACTGCCCCTGCCACCGGATCTTCTGAGAGGTGGAGGGTGGACGAACTTGGACAACCTGGAGACGCTGAATCGAGTTGCAGTACGACGCTCGAATCCTATAGGCGTGTCTCAGTAAGGCAGTAAACGTTCATTGCAAGCGTTTCCAGTGTGTAAACGAGTGTTGCCTGAGTCCCAACTGTCATAACTGTTCGGACGTTGAAAGTCCTTAACTTCAGCTGCGACCGGGGCGCGATGCTTGTTTCTTTCGCATGGGCAAAAGACTATGGTTTCTGTCGTTGTCTTGAGCAACACACTGTTGGAGACTCGAAATAATAGGTTGTAAACCGAGAATAGGAAAGTTCAACAATTGAGGAAGGAAAAGTGTGACCTGTTGGTGTTTTAACGTGGAAATCTGTTGAGCCGACCGCCAACACCTCATTCAAAGAACACGTAGTTCGTGAGAGCGAAAAATTCGGAAATATATAGTGTTCATAGGTTGTGTGAGCATGTTATTTCCCGATCGCCCTGGCCAACCTCAATTGGTTGAGGATACACCTCCGCCACATGGGGGCAGTGCCAACCACTTCTTAGCCGAAGCTGTTTGAGACGCTTGATCATATGGGAGCCCTTCTTGAGTCTTAAAGTAAACTGTCACAACCCAAGATACCCTCTGTCAAACATACTGAGTTATTCTAAGGTATACCGCTGCTTTTGATTTTTATATTAAATTATAGAACTTTTCGACTAGATCCCGGTCAACAATCGTTAATGCCTCCAAAAGCCTCAGTATGGTCGGGGGTGGGTGTCTGGGTTTGCGGCTGGCCACCCTTCCCTTGCACCTCGCGAAATGCCCCCATACGACCAAGTATCTCAAATAGCCTCTGCTGAGGAAGCCTTACTCACTGCCTTCTGGCGGAGGTGTTTTCCCACCAAAGTGAGAGCACAGAAAACCGACATCCGGAGCTATAACCGGGTTGGTGGACCACTGGTAGTTCACCTAGGGGAGTTGGCCGAGAGTTCTGATTCTTTATTTCTTTTTCAGTTTACTTCTTTTTTATTGAATATACAAAGATACAATTTTCAGGAAGGGGGAAGCGGCCGATCAAAGGGCTGCCATTCAACGCGATCTGGGATGTTAGGCGGTGGTGGTGGGATTTGGACAAATCTCCGGAGTGATAATTTGGTGACGTTACCACTGGGCCACCACCGCCCAAACCAACCAAGAGGAGGCGTACGAACCACACCCACCGTCTCGGTTGTGGCAGTGGTCACCGGCTCGATTGGCTTCAAGGTGTATTGGGCTCCTTAGACGTTTGACTCCATCCAAAGGGCGTATGATCCGATGAACTGTGCACTGGCCCCCAGTTGATTGCGGTTTTCACTCACCACCCCGCTGCCTTGTGGGTCAGGCGTGGATTAGACAAAGGCTCCGGTTGTGAAATCCTCAACAAAATTCACCTGCCTTGGCCTGGGCAACCTGGCAGTATTCCGCCTATATGCAAATCATGGGGCGTTTTTCTTTTTCATAAAGCTTATTGTACCATGAAGCGGAGATACGGCTTTACATACTTTGATGAGTGGGAAATCAGGTAGACCTGACGGGTTTCCCTCCACACTCCTCGGGATGTGACACTGCTCACCTTATAGAAGCGATTACTTTCTCATGGCACGACATCAGATTTCAAGGGCCTGTTCCAACATCCTGAGGCGAATCATAGACCGTTCCAACTTTCAAGAAGGGATTCGCAACGATTGTGCGAATCACTACGGGAAGCGTTTGATTCCAATCATCATCATGGTGGTAGTCTTCGTCATACTTCGACGTCTGGCATTTTTAAAGAGACAAACATCGTCGAAGCCGCCGGATTTTGACCTGTTTGTGGTTCCACTGCCTATAGAGGCTCACTTTCGTTGACCCCCTTCAAACAGGTTTACCTTCTGTCCATGTTATACATTTCCCCTTATTGGGTATGCATTGTGACTTCGGCAGCGATCGACGAAGTTCACTTCACTGTATGATGATTGAATAACATCTAAGCACAATAATAAAGAAAAATAAACCGGAAACTAAACAGAATACGTCTAACGTGAAATGGAAAATTTTATAACCCCCTAGTCAAGGACTCTGAGTAGCGCTTTAATATACTGTCGGCAATGAATTTATTGTTTTCATCAAGAAAAATCCATACAAAATAGGACTACTTTTTGTGTTTGTTGATCATATTGTTCCATTTAGTGGCAAACTGTTTCACTTTATCGCTGTTGAAAGCTTTATGATTTATGATAATTGTGACCGATCAAAGCTAATTGGTGTCTCCCATAATTAAACAGCAGGTCGTCTTCACTATGCAGTCTATTCTTCTAGCTAGTTCTCACAATGTTATTTGTGCGTTTCATTTCCTTCAGGTAGGCCTACTCCCTCAGACTCAGTTTACAGTCCGGGTTTCATCCCTAGTCTGAGCATTGGCTGCACTATTCTATACCATCCGGGTAAGTGATGTCTTGCGTATATAAATAATTCCATGTGTCAATCAGTTGAATTTTCTAACAACCGAATATATGTATATATTTTTCTTCACACCATTACGTTTAGACGTGTTCCACCTCACAGGGATGAAGACTTGTTCGCTTAAACAATCCGGAAATTAGAGCGGAAAACCATAGTAGGCCTCTCTAAGATAGGTGTAATATTGATCCAGATGACAACGAAGTCTTTTATCACCAAAGTTGGGAGGCCTTGCAGGGATTCGAATCCCGGACCAAAGAACGCCGGTGACATCGACGTAAACCTCATGGCCACTACCACCACCATGTATATATATTTATACATTCATTTTAACGCGATGGTAATGTTTGTGACAACTGACAAAGTGCACTGTTTCGTCCTGTTTGGGATCCACAGCCAAGACCATCAAGAGTGCCTGGCGCCTCTGAACAATAGAATGGGCTAATCCAAGCTTGATACTCTGAAATAAAATTTGTTTATTCACCCTGGTCCAATTTCAGATTGACGACAAATCAGCACAACACACGCGGCAACCTGGGAGAATAGCGCACATAGATTTCAAACGAGAAGTGGAAATTTTTGTGTCCCGTTATCCTAAAATCAAAAACGGCTTGTTCTGGTTCGACCGTAGCCCGAGCGCAATGGAATATCCTGGGTCGTTCTGTATAGCGTTGATGAGACCGTTGAGCAACGCGTGGCAAAATGCAAACCCCGAAGTCAGAACGACATAGATTCGCAATGCATACGGTACTGTTTAGTTAATTAAGCGAGCCGAAGAACAACGTACCTTAACAATGCGACTCAGGCGCTATACGACCAAAAGATTCAAACAAGTGAGTAGAGGCCTGATATAAAAGGCAAGCAAATAAATTTACAAAGGGAGAAGACAAGACATGCCTGTTACGTCAAGCCAAGGATTCTGCTCAGCAAACGTGAACAGCCAACAGACCAACAATGATCTGTTTGCCACAGAGAGAAATTCTGCTAACCCAGAGTGAACAGCCAGTGTTCAAAGTCAGCGATGCACTCGCGAAGAGTAAGACAACGAATAAGTCCACAAGTTCGGTGATAGGAGCGAGTAGGGACCGGGGCAGTTACAGTACAAAGCCATGTAATAACAGAGGGCAGTCATTTTTTTAATTACACACCTAGGTGTGATGAACAGCAGACGGGGTAAACCCCATAGTCACGAGGACCTGCTGTTCAGTGGTTGAAATCGGCAACCTAAGCCCCGGAACTTGGAGTGGCGAACCACATAAGGCCCCGATAAGTTAGGCGTGGTATTGAACCGGACGACAGCAGGATTGCCTACCACCGAAGTCGGGCGGCGGTGGCGGGGCTCGAACCTCGGACCATAGGGTCCAAAGCACGCCGGTGACAGCGACTAAACCACTGCGCCACCACCACCCAAGAATAGTAACACGAGTGGGGCCGATAGATACTCAAGGTCAAAGGACACGAGTAACAGTCATCAGACAATCATAGACTATGGCTAACACGAGGGATCACGTGGTGATCAAAGTCAAAGTAAGAATGACGGGAAAGAACGTGTGCACATAGGGTCGGTAAAAGGGTTATTGGGGTGGGGAACAACAGTAGTCTCGCATAGGACCCGAGAGGGTTTCTGCAGTTATGTTTGCATTTTGCTGTGTGGTCTTAACTGTTCCTAGTTTTATTTAAACGGATTGGTTTTTTCACAAAATGAAAACAGACTTCTCCTCATTGCAGTGGTGTCTTCCTACTTTGTCGCCTGTTTCAAACCGGTGCTCAAATAAATGCATGCATAGCGTGTTGTGTAGTAGAGGTGTTAAACCCTCATTGGTCAGGAGGTTTTAATGTGAAAACAGTCAGCGTAAATGTTATGAATCAGAAGGATGGATTATTTGATCAGAGAGGGATGTCTAAATGATCGCATTTGAAATTCCTAACATTCACCGTACACCGTGGAAACTCCAACAAAACCAGTATATGCAAAGTGATTTTGGTGTGAACTTCTTCTAAACACTTAGCAGAATGCCATCTCATTATCTTCATTGTTCACTTCCTCTTCAGTCCGAAGACCACCAGCTGAAATGCTTTCAGGGATAGCAACGGTAGTTTGCAAATCAGTCCGGAACGCTGGAGTATCGTTCTCCCTCGGAGTTAGTTTTCGTCATTCCTGCTCTGCTATATCGAACTCTGTGCGTACGACTGCACGACCACGAAAGACCAATCTTGTTGGTCGCCAAGCTCCCCTCGTTCTTACGAAAGCAGCTGTCGACCGTATCAAAGAATTGATGATGAAAAATCCACAAGCAGTTGGGATTCGAGTTGGTGTCCGAACTCGTGGTTGCAACGGTCTGTCCTATACACTGGACTTTTCTGTTGATGGTCGCCAACCAGGGGATGAACTCGTGGAGCAGGATGGTGTACGTGTTTTCATCGACCGGAGGGCCCAGCTAACATTGCTCGGAACTGAAATGGACTATCAAGTAGGACTAATTGCCAGCGAATTCGTATTTAACAATCCCAACGTGAAAGGCACTTGTGGGTGCGGTGAAAGCTTCAATGTTTAAAAAGAGTTGCACGCCTTGGTTGCACTCACAATCATTACAATGTTTACCAGTCTACGAAAGAGACGTCAGCTGTAGTTCTTTGAGTTTTAACTATTGTTATTTTGTTACGGTAGTACATCTACCTTCTAGTTTCAGTACTGCATTTCAGCAAGCAAGGTTGGCAGAACTACGTGATTTTCGTACTACAGATTATTGAGTATCATTTTCCCCCCGTCATTTGGTTTGTGCCTTTTTTCACTTGGTAAAATCCCACCAGATCAACGAAGAAAATTGATCTGTTAGTGTTTTCGCGTGGGGATAACGAATAATGATTGATATGTCATTCGGTCCCCTTGGTGATTCACTAATCACTACAAATTCCGTGCGTTTCAGCCCAAGTTTTATGTGAATTATTTAATGATATGTTGAAGGCTTTCCAATTGACTTTTGATTATTGTATTTATCTTTTATATTTGGCTCAAAAATATTCGAGAAATAGGGCATCGCGTCTATTCAATTGAAGTTGATGTTTTTCGCTTCGCAGAGGGATATGTCGGAACGGAAAAAAATTAATATATTCCCATCGAACGTTTCTCGCTTGTTAGGATGGATTCGGAGTTACAGACTGAAACTTGAAGTTCATTAGCAATTTAACATGACGCAAAACTCCTGACGTAAAGCCTATGGCTAGAACACCTTTTAAAGTAATAGTTCATCAAGTTCGTTTAAGTTAGGTATGATGGCACAGAAGGCAAAGCACCTCACTAAAGACAAAAACAGAATTTGTATCATTATAGTCCACAGCAGGCAAAATTTGCAACTACTAATTTTCCCGTTGTTTTGTAGCCTCTGACCATCATTTATTGATCACTGTAATGTAATTTAGCACCCACGGCGCAGAACCAGGTCCATGACTCAATTTCAGAACACGTCTGAATTTTTAACCTAGTTACGCGGCTTAGTTATCTCGTATGAGTCGCGTGCGAATTTCTTACTCAAATAAGAAAGAACAATGGTAAATTACTACGACTATGAAAAATGCTTCCATTTTCAAAGATCGAGCAAACGAATAATATTTTGAAGATACAATAAAACTGGAAGTGTACCTACCGGTTGTATCAATCACAATCCGATCAGTTAGTTGGCTTGTGAGATTGTACTAAACTTCTAAATCAAGGATCCCTGATGAGTTACCAGATGAGCTTTCTCGGTGAGTGATGATTGGGCGGGCAGGTTGTGGGTAGAAGACCAAGGTGATTCAGAATGAGAATCGACATGAAGATATTAAAACCCTGACCAGGAAACTCAGTCGCCCGAGACTCCCATGTACTAGGTATCGTGGTCAAACTGATTGATGGATGAAAACACAGTTAAATGATAGCGTACAGCGAAGCTCGTGCATCCACTCTTGTTTTACGCCGTTTTAGTTTGTGCTTTATGTGTCCTAATTGTTAAATGAACTCTCTAATCTAATCTCGGTCAATGGAATGGGTAATCGAACTAAAAAGCAAAACCCCAGCACGGTAGGGCCGAGTCAACGGTCATCAAAACTGAAAGGTGGAGGCGATAATATATGACGAATTATTCATTGAAAAAGCTTCCGAAAGCCATATGGTGGAGGGGGGCGTCTTGGGTTGCGATTAGCCATCCCTCCTTTGCACCTGTCGAAATGCTTCCATACGACCAAGCATCTCAAATAGCCTCTGCTGAAGAAGCCCAGCTCACTGCCTTCTCGTGGCGGCTGTTTTCCCACCAAAGTGAGAGCCGAAACCTGGGGCTGTATCCGAGTCGGCGAGTCACTGGCACTTTACCTAGGGAAGTTAGCTGAAAACCCTGATTCCGAACCAACCACGAAGAGTCGTACGAACCACACTCACCCACGAATTCCTGGTCGCGGTGGTAGCCACCGACTCGACTCAGTATCGGTGTACTAGGAACCTTGGATGTTTGACCCCGTCCGAAAGGGCGTATGATCCGATAAACTGAGCTGCCCCCACTGAACTGCGGTTTTCAAACGCCACTCCGCTGCTCGGTGGGTCAGCTTTTGATTAGCCGAAGGCCCCGATTGTGAGTCCCCAAAGTACACGCACTTGTTTGGGCTTGAGCCACCAGACAGTATTCCGCTCACGGGCAAATCATGAACCTATCTCCTTTCAGAGATAAGTGTACTGTGGCTTGTTTTCCACACTCTGGTTCTTGAAATGTCTTAAAATAATAAGTCATGTTATCTTTGAAGTGATTCTCTCCAACGGGGAGCAGCAACTGCAAGTAGATCCTGGTGTGGCTGATTCGCAAGTGTGCGCAGTTCGTGCTTTAAACGGTAAAACCTCTTTCGAGTTTGATGTGGTAATGAATTTGCCACCTAAACGTTCCCCAACATTATTCGGCTTAAGTTGAGGTTCCCTACTCGCTTGCTCCATTTTAACTGCGAAAACCTCTAACCGATGGATGCCTTTGATACGCAAACTGAAGGCCTCACGATCCCAAGGCAGAACTGCTGCATTGTATGATCATCCAAAGCTATTGAAACAATCGAACTGCGTGCAGTCACCCTTACTGGGACACCGCTATTCTTCTCGGTGTTAATACAGCGCAACTCTACGTATAGGAAGTAATCAATTTCAAGACTTTCCCGACAATTTTGTTTCAAAGCAGTACTAGTCACTCAGTCTTGCAGCTCCACTTTGTATTTTGAATGTGCAAAGCACATTAACAAAGAAGTGACGAAGCCTGTTCGTCTGTCAAACATGTTTTTCTCGTTAGTGTACTCTAAATGGCATAGCGTTTCTGTAGCTGATCATTCGATATCAACATTTGCCTCCAGTATTTTGTCTGCGGCGAAATAGAGAAATAGACCACTTTAAGCGAACACTGCTAATTGTGACGAACGAGCCACCCAGCTTTTGACAGACATCCGGCGAGAAGCGCGAGTATATTCTTCATTCATATTCATCGTATGGAGCCAACGTATTTTCAGAGGATGACGTGCTCAGTGTGCCAGACGTCTTGTGTACGGAATCACCAATTTTCTTAGCAAGCTTTATTCCACCCTCTTTGACTAGAGGTGAGGAAAAACGGTTGGAGCTCGGCGCTTTGTGACGCTCCATGAATTCGATTTCCGCCCCAGGTGGGTCGGTTGAGACAGACCATGGGATGTGTGTGCGATTTGTTTGGCCCTCAGTTTGCAAAAAAGACGCGTGAAATACTGTTACACGCAGTTCCATGATCGCGTTATATTACCCGTGGTTAATTGTAATTTCTTCATCAGAAACATCTGGTATGTGAAAGGAAAATTAAATTATTCTGAAGTGTTCTCATTATCACCGGAGGCGTTTGAAGTCAAAGTATGAATGATATTGATCGTGCCGCTAGCACCTTAATAAATTTTGGATCCCACCCTAGCTACTAAACTTCAACACGGTAGATAGCTTCATTGTCGTCCGACTGAATACCATATCTTTCCTGTTCACCACGAGGCTTGAAGTTAAAAAAATATTAGTCGACTTGTTTGTAACTGATCCATCTAAACTGAGCTTAGTTCTAGTGGATGCGTAAAGCCAACGACATTCCTTGTTATACGAAAGTGAAGTTAAGGAGGAAATACACAACCAGCTCTTTTGTTATTATAATGAAACGCTCAATAGTTTGGGAATGTATGTCACACGCGCCTTGTTTCAGACTGCTTCAAACAAATCGAGGTACAATGATCTTTTTAACAAAGAAATCGGTCTGTGACTTTACTAGCGAGAGGGATACTGTTAGTTTGCTCAGGCCAAAGCAGGGGATTCACAATTGGAGCATTCGGTAAGTTAAAGCCTGACCCACAATGCAGCGGAGGGTGTTGGAAACCGCCCTTTATTAGAAGGGTAGTTTTAGGTGTCGAATCTGCTCTACCGGAGATGGGAAACATTTCGGAGAAAATAATTCATCCGTTGTATAGGATGGTATTGGGTTCTAGAATAATGCTACAAAACATCTTGATCCGCAAACGAATGACTGAGGAGAAAGGAAGGGTCTCATTAGAGGGTAGTTGTTTGTTGCAGACACAGTACATGAGCTCTCGCTATAATTATGTGATACGCTTCTCAAAGAAAGCTATCGAATTCTCTCTACCGTGTGCACCACGTTGGCCCAAAGAGGGCATTCCAAAAGTTATTGGCCTTATGCGACAATCTGTACTTCGACGATAATCCAATCGATAGGGGTTTCAGCAATGTGAGTTCATGGCCACGTGTCCAGATATGCCACAGCAGAATGAAGCACGCCCTTAGCTCTGGGTCCGTATCACTACGAAGAATACTTGGCACGCAGTTGATGTCACCACGAACGTCTGTATAATTCAGGGAACAAACTACGTGCTCTGTGTGACAGGTCCCTTGTATTCCAGAGCATTCATCTAGCCAGTCGCTTGATCATATCACTGTCCACAATAGACAACTTTCGGACAGATGAATAACCGTAATCCATGAGTGAAAACTGTCCATTAGAGATGTGATACATTCGGTTGTTAATTGCGCTCGGCGCGCTGTTCTTTTGATACAGTTTTTTTCCGTGACCCGATCGCTGCACATCTACCTATTCGAGACGTCTAACCATATGACCAAACAGGGTCTACTTTCTTTCTTGAAAATTATCCACTCAAATTAGACGCCAGATCAGGTCCTTTCAATGAGTCATGGAAATTGCCCGGATTAAAAGGTGCGCAAGACGAATTTCCTAAAGTAATAACAACCACTTTGAAACATCCTTTTCCCAATATGAACTTGACTACAGTACACATCGACGAAGGACTATTATTCTTCATATCTTTCATTTTTAACCGAAGGGACAGCGAAATCTTCCCCGGAAATAAACAGAGCAGTAACCAATTTACACTTAAAACTAGACAACGCATTCATGTGAGAGAGACCAGGGAATTTTTATTCTCAATTAGGGCAGAATTAGTTACACGACTGGTATACACATTGCTTGGCTGACTTCAGACTGCGGTAGCCAATTCACGTGACAAAAAGTTCACAAAT